CTCTCACTCCTAGAGGCGCCCATACGGATTTAAGACCTGCCCCGTATCAGCTCCACCAACTAATGAGAGGAACAGCCCTCTCTAAGCCAGCTACTCCCAAGTCAGAGAAGAGAATGAGCATCACCTTGACCTCCTATTTATTCCACCTTTCCTGATACCCACAGGTCCTCCTCAGTCTGACTCATGCCTTGTCTGCAGCTGCCCTCACAGCACCCCCACCCTCCACCTCACCCAGGCCCGGGCCAGTCCTGGCCCCCTGAACTTCTTTCTACCATTCTACACTCATTCCTGCTACAGCAATCTCACATGTCACTCTGTCCCCTTTCCTACCTAAGAACTCTCTTGGCCAAGATCACCCGAGGCCACCCCTTCAGGCTGGCAGAAGCCCTTCTTCTCTCTCTCATTCTCTCCAAGGGCAGCCTGGCTTTGGAGCCAAAACTTGGACAAAATGGCCAGAGAAGAAGAGGTTTCCATTCCAACATCAAGGTCAATCACCCAGGGATAAAACCATTATGCATAATACTATTACTCAGACTGTTTTCATGCTGGACATGCCATAGGCACAATATGGTTTTAGGAGTAAAATTTCTATCTGCCTTAGAAAAATTCTCACATCTGTGCCAAAAATATAAAGAGTTTTATATTTTTGTAATTGGCTCGTGCAATTATGGAAGCTGGTGAGTCCAAATCTTCAGGGTGGGCTAGCAGGCTAGACACCAGGGAACATCCAGTGTTGCAGTTCAGGTCTGAAGACTGTCTGCTGGCAAAGTACCCTCTTGCTGAGGGGAGAACAGTCTCTTGCTCCATTTAGACTTTCAACTGATTGGGTGAGGCCCACCCACACCATGGAGAGCAATCTGCTTTTTGCCAAGTCCGCCCATTTAAATGTTAATCTCATCCAAAACACCCTGGCAGAAACAGCCAGAATAATGTTTACCTCTATACCCAGACACTTTGGCCCAGCCAAGTTGGCATGTGAAACAAGCCATCACACCACGCCCCTCTGATCTGGCAAGATCTGGACTTTGAAATGTCTCTCAACAGCACAGCAACTGCTGAAAACTCTGCTCAGCAAATTTTAGCCTTTGCACTGTCATTTCCCATTTAGCCCCTTCAAATTTCACTGTGTGCATGCCCAGTTCAGAAGTTAATCCAGGATTTAGGGGAATTCTAAAGCAGATTTTGGGTTTCCCCCTCTAAGACTGCTTTCTTTCTAGAATTGTTCCCCAAAACGTCTAGCCCCTATGACTGCTGTGAGCCCCACTCTGTCTTCCAGGCACAGTAAGAGAGCCACTTTCTTCACACTCATTGCCCTGTGTACAATGTAAACTGTACATGTCCTCAGGGGTAGGGCCAAATAAATGTGAGCTCACCGACGTGTCTTCTTTAGGAGTCAAATTCCCTCTGGCTTATGCCTGCTTTGAGAGGCTCATCAGTACTTCAAATCATTGTCCTATTGTATTTTGTACTAAATTTATCATTGTTATTGGCAGGAGGGCTAGAATGATACACTACTCAGTCATATTCAGCTTCAGAATCCCTCAAGAGTTATTTTTCAAAGTATTTAAAATTTCCAAGCTAAAAAATACTTTTGGACTAGCATTTAAAAATTTTTTAAATATTTCACTGGGGTCAGTAAGTATAAAATGCATAATTTCAATCCTTGGTAATTTGATCCCAGGTCAAGTCCTGATGGGGGGGATGGGGTAGGAGTCATCAACCCAACCTGACTCCGTCTAGAAGGCTGACGGAGGGAAATGAGGGTCATCTACAGTAGCAACAGGTAACACCTTCTGGATGTCGTGACTGAGGCCACATGACATCTCTTCTTGGAGTGAGTCTACTGGGGGCAGAGAGCAGAGCCCTTGCTGCCTGCTGTAAATGCCCCATCAGAGCACACTGGGGGTAAATCTTGGACATTGTTTTAATCCCTTTTTGGTCAGCAGTTTTGCTGGACTCACAATTTGTCACCAGTAAAAAGAACCACCGTCTGATTTAAACTCAGGAAAGGATGAAATATCAGAACCACATTATAAGGCTTCTTGGTGGGTCTTTGTTTTTGCTAGGAAGACTTAAAGGGCAGCTCTGAGCCATTTCCCTGGGGAGCTCAGGCCACACTCCCAAGGGCTCCTTCCTGTCCACAGAAGGAGCAAAGGTGGGCTTATCTTTTCTTGGGTAAGAGAGGACAGTGGAGTCAGATCCGCAGTTGCCCCAAACAGAGGCTGAAGTACTCTCGTGGTCTCTGCTGCAGAGCCAAGGGGCACAGTGGTTTTGGGAGGCTAACCTGAGCAGCCCCACACTAACTAGAAACACCTGCTTTGCTTTATTTTCTAAAGAAAGTTTTCCTTTTTACCAAGCCTACCAGATTAGACTTAAGTGAGATTTGTCAGCGATCTGCCTAACTTAATTTATATAAACAATGGTAAACATTAGTGAACACTTGGTTTATTTGTATGATTATAATCAATTTTATGTTCAAATTAGCCTACAAGAAATTTACCTTCATGAGAAAAACATCAAACTATGAGCTGAGGAACAGTCTACACAATACTGATACACAGTGATACCGACCAGTGATACACAATGATACTGACCAGGGCTCCTCAAAACTGTCCAGGCAAGTCTGAGAGACCATCACAACCAGGACGAGCGTAAGGAAGCATGATGACTAAATGTCATGTCACACCCCGGATGGGTGAGAAAAGGGACAGTGGGTAAAAACCAAGAAGATACAAATAAAATAAGGACTTTAGGTAATCAAATTGGCTTGCTAGCTCTGACACTTAAACCATACTAATGTAAGATATTGATAATAAAGAAGCTGGGAGCGGGGCATAAGGGAGCTCTCTGAAGTACCCTCACAACTTTAAGGAAAACCTAAAACTGTTCTAATATAAAACTTGATTCAAACATATCTATAAAGAAATGAATGTCTAAAAATGAAGACTTCCTTAATCTCACTTCTGAATTTTAGAATGGAGTAAAAGGTGACCAAGCATGTTTGCCAAGTGCCAACTACATGTCAGTCTTCTAAGAGCTTTATTATCTGTGTTACCTCATTTAACGCTAACAAAGATCCTATTAGGTAAGTACAACTATTAGCCCATTTTTACAGATAGGGAAACTGAGGCATAGAAAGGTTAAATGATGTGTCCATCTCACAAAGCAGCATTTGGCTACAGAGCCTATGTAATCTCTTACGTCCCTAAACTGCACAGAGAGAGGATCACAAATGATGAGAAAAATCATGTCAGTGGAAACTCCAGAACCATGAACACTCAGACCCAAAATATGCTGATAAGTGAGGCTGGGATGAATGAGGCCTGAACAACTTCCCACATTCGGTGTAGAGATGGGCCAACCATCTGTCATCCAGTGATAACGTACATGTGAAATATCATATCCTTTGAAGGTTGATTAGTTTATCTGACAAGTCTGAGATATTGACAAATGACTTGGAGGGAAAAGAACCAGTCAGCAGGAGCACAGCTGAGCACAGCCCAGACCTCACTTTCCCCAAACATAGCCCGCCCCCCCCCGCCTTCAGTGTCCTAATGGTTGATGCAAGAGACCCAAGACCAGCTGCTGAGCCTTCCTGAGGCTAGCACTCCCCAGATCCTCCACCTCCTAGTCGGTGGCAACAAATCCTAGGAGTGATGGTGAGTCACGTCCTCCCGCTCGATCACATCTACCCATCAGTAACTCTTGACATCTTTGCCTCTAAGCCCCATCCCAACACATCCACCCTCTGCAACCTTGCTGCCCAGCACCACAGCCCAAGCCACACTCACCTCTCGGACTGGGGCAAGGATGCCGAGCAGCACGCTTGGGACAGCAGAGCGATACTGACATGTCATGACTCATTTGAAAGTCACAATAACCCTCATATTTTATTCTCCATTGGCTTGTTTGTCTATTCTTAGCTATTTCCAAACTTGGATGATGAAAAGGAGTACCATTTATTAACTTATTCAAATCCCCTTATATCTTAAAATTCTATGATATGTATACTTTAAAAACACACATAAGGGAATATATATACACATATGCATTTGCTTTTTATATACTGATTTTAATTTATAGATTCAATGTAAGTATATTTTTAATTTATAGACATAGAGATTGATGCATGTTTTTTTTAATTTGTTGATCTGGCCAGATAACCCTCTCCCATCTCACCTTCTCCTCCTCTGAGTGCTGAGTTTTGGAGGCAACAAAGCACAGCTGCGCCCAGAGATCCTGGTTGGTTGCTGCTATCTTCAGCCTGCTCTCCCCATGTAGGGAAGGTTCACCCTCTAGTGTTTGAGTGTCATTGGTCCTCCCCTCAACTCTCTGCTAGAGGCAAGGTGGGCTGTGTAGGACTGACATGTGTTCTGGGGGTCCCAGGGCCTATCGGGCTGGGAAGGCAGGAGTTTCCCCTAACCCTTGGCCTCTGCTACCACACTCCCAAACCACTGGCTGAGGCCATCAGAATGGCCTCACTCTTGACATTGCACTTGCACACACAATGATTTCTTGTGGCTGCTTTCAAATACTTCCTAGAGCTCTTGCCCATTGGAACGTCCATCCCCACGAACTGCTACCAGGGAGAAGGGCTGTCAAGAAGGAGAGTCAGAGAACTGCCAGTAGAACTGCCACAGATGGAAGCCACTGAGCTTGAATTTGGGGTGGAAGCCAAGAGGACCCGTTACAAAGAGTCCCATGCTGACCCCCAGGGCATGTCAGCCTTTATAACCCAAGGAGAGAGCACTGGCCTTCAGCATACTTCTCTGTTCTTCACCCAGGAAACACTGTGTGGGGAGAAAACAAAAGGGGAGCCCAGGAATGATGCTAGGAAAATACGTCATGGTGTGGAATGGCGGAGAGGACCCCATGGTTTTGTTGTGCTTATAAAAAATGATTACTGAGAATCCTGAAGCATTCACCTTCAGGTTTTAAGTGTCTCTGCCATTCATGAACATGAAGTCTTAATTAAAATGCTGCTAAAAGAAGCAAATCAATTAACAGATACCTTACAAGATGGTTTATTCTATCTTACACACAGAAAATTGCTTATGAGTATCGGGTTACCGCTTTAGGTTATCAGCTAACAAAGGCTGCTAATGAACTACGTTGTTATCAAGTCAGATAAAAGATGCCCGGGGAATCCAGGCAAATTATTATAACACAGCACTGTGTTTTGAAATATTGCTCATCTTTCATCACACACAAGGAGAAGAGCCCAATCCGAGGAGAACCAGCCCACGCAACCACCTGGATTTCTGCTGAACTGGAAAGGCAAAGAGTATTCAAGAATGCAGCCCCAGAAATACAGGGTTAAGAGTATGGGGGAGAGAAATGTTAACGAGGCCTGTGCCACACAGCCTTTAGTTGATGGCAATAATAAAAAGATGGGCGTTTCCTAAGCCTCTGTCGGTCATGTCCTCTAGGCAAAAGCCATTCACATTTGTACTAATAACCACAAAATAATGTTCTAAACGTAACAATAATCCCTTACATCTATGTGGGTCCCTACAAGGCACACCATTGGCTTTTTCATTTAATCCTTTGTTGGCTTCATCTTGTGCGGAGCTGCAAAGCTGTAGGCCATTCCATGGCCATTCAGACCCCTTCCTCTCACTCTGGCCCAGTCCTCCATTCTTTCCTGTGGAAGGTCAGTCTTTCATTCCTCAGACCAGAGACTACCCCATAGTCTTCATGTCTCAAGGATCCTGAATATTCACATGGGGGATTCTTATGGCAACTGAAAAGGTGAGGCCATCAGTTCTAGAAAAATGATGCTTACCTGTTGATAAGTGGTGGTGTTACGCAGGCTATGTCTTGACTTTGGTCCCCATTTCCATGAGCCATTTGCTCTGGGTAGGTTCCATTGATATGGACACAATGCTATCACAGAATCATGAACAACTCCACCAAAGAGGACCAGGATAGACAGTGTGGATTATTGGCTTCCATCCTTCCTTACTGCTGGGTAAAGTGCTCATGCCTCCCTCTGTTGAGTCCACTTCTCATGGAAGAGAATTGATATTTTCCTTTAGGACAGAAATGCTGTAGACTCCATTCCATCTGTTACTTGGCCTGGGCATTGAGGTCCACATGAAGGTCCGTCACCAGCTTTAGAAGCTCAAGTTCATGACATCCCTGAGATTGAAACTGTCCAGACTGCCCAACCTTTCCTGAAGAGGCCACTCATTTAGAGCTCAATCACTTGCTCATCTCTGGAAAGGAAGAGAACCATCAGGAAGACCTATTGATGGAGTGATTATGCTCTCACTAATTATGGCATATGCTTATGCAACACACACAATTAAGTAGCTATGAAAGAATTCATCACATATCTTAGCAAGGTGAGACATTTCCTTGTGCAACATAGAAAGTACGTGAAGACCAGTGGCTTCTAGGTAAAAGGGGGAGATTTTCAGATAGAGCTCAACTGAGAGGTTGTTTTCTGCCTGCCAAACCTCGAGCCACAAAACTTCACCCACTTTGGTGGAAAAAGGGAAGAAGTCATTCCCCAAGGTTAAAAGGCATATCTGCTGGAAAATGCCACTTTATGTACTTGAAGAGATTGCACCAATCTGGGAAGATGCTACAAGGAACCAGGTAGATAGACCTGTGCAAATATAATTAGAAACTTATACATTCAAGTCTGAACTTGTGCTGTTATAGAGCATGAGACTTGTCCACACATAGCAGATCTATTTCTATCTCTATATCTACATAAAATTAGGAACACATAGGAAACTATGAGGTCACCGAACTGGACCCCAATATAGTAGAGCTCAGGCTGAAAGTAGGGCACAGACCCACTGCTATGGCCACTTTCAACTAAAGACCTCACCCACACCCTCATGCACAGAGACTGAATTCACACCAACATTCACTGCTATTTCCTGTAACAGTCATAATTTTAACAGATTGGCATATTTGTGTTTACATTGAATGTTGCATACTTGTTTATGCCATTCGATTGTGCGTGTTGTCTCAATGTCTTGATATCTAACATGGGAGAAAGGACAACAACATTAGAAAGATGGGACAGAGAGAAGCAGCAATGAGATAAGCCAAGCCAAAGGCCATAAAGAGATAGTACCTACCTACCCTACGTGTAGAGGACCAAGGACACACATTGAGGTCAGGGTTACAGAGCTTGATGGCAACAGAGGCAACATGGAAGATAAGCAAGTTGGAAACAAGCAAGGATGGTGACAGAGAAGTCTAAAGGGGTTCCAAGAGAGTTTTTTGTGCTTCTCCTTTAAAATGTGTTGAGTCCAAAAATCAGAGTTTAAGTTGGATGGTCTAGAGGTCCAGGGGCTCAATAGAAAGTTCATCCCTTCTAACATCTTTAACAAGTTCTGAGCTCAAAGGGCCCTTTTGGATATTGTTAAGAAGAAGATCCAAAGTGGCTGGATCTATGCAGCATTTGCTCTTGAATGCTGATGTCTATAGAGGATGGGAAAACCAAGAAGGCAGCCTCCTTCTTCTCCTAATGGCCCTGAGCTGGGGAAGGGGCACCTGTGAGCTTCTCCATGGAGGAATTTGTTCTCTGACAGGGCAGTCAATCCTCTATGTACAGCTGTGTCACCAGCCCTTAGAGAGATAGGCACAATGTACAAGAAAGGTAAGTTGGACAGAGGCTGGAATAGTAGCTACCGACAGGACCAGCAGGTGAATCAGGCTGCAGACCTGGGCTGGGTATCAAGAAAAAGAGAAAGAGACTTTGGGAGACTGTATCTGCACTGTTTCCACTATTATTTAATATTGGTGGTTTTAGTCAATGCAGTCAGAGAGGAGGAAACAATTAGAGGCATAAGAACTGGGAAAGAAAATCTACAATTTGACAGATGACGTAATATTATGAAAACTCAAGGAAATCAAGAAGAACACACATACAATGAAAGTATTCAGTAAGGCTGTCACTATAACATTAACATACAAATACAATCCATAAGCAAGCAATGACCCAGTAGGAGACATAACGGGAGACTCCATTCACAAAAGCAACAGAAACAGAAAAATATTTAGGAATAAACTTAACAAGAGTGTGAAAAACCCATAAAGTAAAAGCCGAAAACTCTCTTCAGATCCATAAACACAGACTTGCAGAAAGATTCACCTTTCCATGAAGGACGTTGTAAAGAAGTCAATCATCTTCAGTCTCATACATGAACGTAATGCAACCCCAACAAAAATACAGAGGTGTTTTTTCCATGGATAGATTGAGTTGGTTCTGAAGGTCATATGGAAAAACAAATACTCAAGAATAGTTAGAAGAGAACAGCAACAATGTGCCCTGAATAGGACACACAATGGGAGCGCGCCAGATGGCGGAGAGAACCATGGAACCCGTATGAGTAAGAGCGTGGTCCCAGCAAGTGAATACTCACAAATACCATGAACAATACTATAAAGTCTAAGATTACCCCAAATACACACGGAAATTTAGAACACAATAAAGATTGCAGATAAAACTGGGGAAAATAATATTTTCAATAATGGTACTAAAATAGATTGCCATTTGGGAAAAAGATAAAATTGGATCTGTGTGTCATCCTACACACCACAATATATATTAAATGGATCAGAGATCCAAAGAAAAAATAAAACCTTACAAGAGCTAGAAAAAAATGTATGTATGTATGTAAACATTTTTTTTTAATTTTAAGGACATTTTATATATATAATTTTAATTAAATATATTTTTTTAAAAAGAATGTGGGAAGATAAAGCCAAGACTTGAAAATAGTTACCTCCACGCAGTGGGTGGGGACAGGACAGAGCGGACATGTTTGGGAGGGAGACTTCTCTGAGTTCACCTGTTTACATATTTTTTTTATCTTTGAACTATATGTATGTTTTACAAACTCAAAAAAGTAGAATTAAATTGAAAGAATTAAGAACAGAAACATTAAAATAGCATATAAAAGAAAACATACCCCATATCCAATTGATAGCATAACCACACAGAGAAAATAATTAGTTCAGTATGAGTATAATACTCGGTACAGAGAGAAGGCTAAATTCTAAGAAGAAAAAGAACTGTGAAGATATCTTCAAGTTACTAAGCAAGTTTGTGGTTGTAGAGTGTTGTGATTGTGGAATTATTTTGTTTACTATCAGAGGATAGAGCAAAAGAGAAAAAATATTTATATGGAACAGGGTTTTCACTTTGGAGGTGAAAAAACAGAAATACAGAGTGAGGAAAACTTAAGTAGAGCCTTATGAGTTTGTGGTGTAAACATATATATCCAGACTCTGTCCGTTGAGAGGGTCATGTCTCAGCAGTCATGAACACATTGTGCCCACATCTTGGCTTGTAAAAGCTATTCCATATCAAAGAAAGAAAGAAAGATAAAGAGAGAGAGAGAGAGAAGAAGGAAGGAAGGAAGGAAGGAAGGAAGGAAGGAAGGAAGGAAGGGAGGGAGGAAGGAAGGAAAAGGGGAGAAAGAGAGAGAGAAAGAAAGATAGGAAGAAAGAAAGAGTGGAGGGAAGGAAGGAAGGAAGGGAGGGAGAGAGAGGGGAAGAAAGGAAGGAAGGAAAAAGGGAGAAAGCAAGCAAGCAATCAAGCAAGCCAGGTAGGTACATGGGTGACCAGGTCTGAGCAGTCAGTTCAAGGTGAGCCCAGTATACTGTGTTGAGTCAGAAGTCCAGGAAATGAAGAAGAAGGAAAAAAAAAATCTAGGAAATGCTCAAAAACCACCAAGAAGTGATGGTACTGGACAAAATGGGGACAATTTGAGCATCACAAAGATCTACGATGGCAATGAATTATAATATGTTGAAATCCACAATCATGATACTCAACAAGTAAGAGAAAGAGAAAAGGGGAAAGGAAAAAGTCTTTTTATCCAGAGGCATACCAGCTATTAAATGCAGAAGGGATGCTACCCTTAGAAACTCAGTATTTTGTAACCCCCAATATAATAACTGATTCATAGATGGATATAAACAGATATAAAATCGCTGGATGAAGAATCATTGAGGGGTCAGGATGTTCACATGGTCTCAGAGTATCACCCTTCAGGTTATCAACCGATTACAAAGAGGAAAATTTGTCTCCCCAACACAGACATCTAGTGGTCACTTCTTTATTCAAGTGACTGAAGGCAGGGATTCCTGGGTGGCTCAGTCAGTTAAGCATCCTTTGGCTCAGGTCATGATCCCAGGGGCCTGGGATCTGAGTCCAGCACCAGGGTCCCTGCTCAGCAGGGAGCCTGCTTCTCCCTCTACCTGCTGCTCCCTGGCTTGTGCTCTCCCCTGCCTCTGAAAAATAAGTAAGTAAAAACTAAAAAAAAAAAAAAAAAAAGTGATCAAAGGCAGCATCGCCCACCGTGAGACCCTCGCGTCATGGGCTTCCTGATGTAGTACAATATTGGACACGCAATGTCACTTCCGTGGTGTTCTTGACAACAGTCTCGATCTGCGTCTACTCATGAGAAAACAGACCAGTCCAAAAGACAGGACATCATACCAAAGTACTTTGAAATCGACAATGCCACAGAGAAAGAAAGCAGAGTCGTCCAACATAGAAAACATACAAAAAAGACGAAATGGAGACAAAATCAAACACTGTGCATCCCGGTTTGGAAGACTAGAGCTATAAAGATTCTTTGGAAACAATCAGAGAGATCTGAATGTGGGCTGTGTAAGGAATGATAGTACTGAAATACTGGTCATTTTTTGGGTGTGGTCATCATATGGTGACCATGCAGGAGACAACTGGTTCTGTATTTAGGGGTGAAATATCTCTACTAACTTAAGGGTGATATTTCTACTAATTTTTAAGTGGGTCAGGAAAAAATGTAAGTGTACAGAATAAAGTAAGTGGGGGGACTATTAACTTGGGAATCTAAGTATATGTATATGTCTTTCTTGCACTGTTCTTTCAACTCTTTGGTGCATTTGAAGAGTTTTCAAAAAGAAGGAAGGTGAGAGCATGTAGGTGTTGCATGAGACACAGGCACGTGGGCCTAGGAATTGTGACCTGTGATCAACCCCACACACTCAGACCTCATCCACTGCAAGACACAAAAGCAACAGGGGAAACAGACACTTCCGTCAAATAAATAGCGTTGAAGACACCAAAGTTTTGGATTTTTTTTTTTAATCTCATGGACTAAGTTGGCAAGTTCATGGTTTGACTGACGTTTAGGGAAAATCTGGGCAAATAAAAGAAAGTTAACTACCCTATTTCTAAAATCTCATTTTCTCAGCTTTAATCAGGCAAATGTCCCACAGCTTCATTTTAAATCTTCCTGAAGTACCACTAAATTAAGACTTTTTGGAAGGGAAAGAAGAAGGAGGAGGAGGAGGAAGAGGGGGAGGAGGAGAGGGGGGAGGAGGAGGAGAAAGAGTAAAAGAAGGAGAAGGAGGAGGAGGGGGATTCCTGGTGTCCCAGGAGAGGCATGAGGAATGCGTGGCTCCTGGCTAGCAATCCCCTCCTATCCTGTGTGGGGGCCGCCTCTGGAGAGCCACTGCCTTTCTCCCTTTCAGAACCAGCCATCCATCGTGCTTACCACTCACCTTGCAGAGAAATTGAGGTTTGACCTGCAAAACAGGAGAATCAGGTGTTCATTAAATCATTCCTGCATAACAAAAAAAGCACATGCGAAGTTTTGCTCCAGGAGAATGGCTTGCTTGTCCTTAGCTTTTTCTTTCCGGTCTAACTTCTTCCTGACTCCGCCTGACTCCATCTAGTGTTACTTTTGGAAACTTGAAGCGTGCTTCCCTCCTCTCCAACAAGCTCTGTTCACAGAGGAGCTCTGGTGTGACCCGTGCCAAGAACAGCTCCCTGCACGTGGGGTGGGGGAGGCTACATCCCAGAGCAGGGGAGGGCTCCCACCCAGCCGCCTGCCGCCCCCTGCCCTGCATCTCTCCCTTGCCTCCCTGTGTACACATGCTCAGGATTGAAAATTAGGATTTGGGAGCTCTTCCATTTTTTTTATTCTATGACGAAGATATCCCTGAAACAGGGTCTGCAGAGACTTCTGGGGGCCACTGGAGTCTCCAAGGCCAAGTACCTTAACTCAAAATGCCCCTCCATGCGTGTGGGTGATTTGAAAGGCCAAGGTAGCACGCCCACCCCCGTCGGTGGTGAGAAAATCAGTACGACCCCTAAGTCGTGACAGAGAGTCACAGCTGGCCACAACAGTCTGCAGCCACAGGCCCAGGGTGCCCCCACCCTGCATGGTGGGGCATGCAGGTGGCCCAGCAGGGGGCCCCGGAGGCCACACTGTGGGCAGAGTCTTCACTATCACAGACATCTCCCATCTACGCAAAACTGACTCCCATAATGTACTCCCCACCCCAGAGACCAGCTGGACCCCCCAAAAGCAATACAGGCTCTAGGCCTGGGCTCATCTATTCATTCCCAGTTCCCCTCTTCCCCTACGTCAGGAGCTAATCCTTCTCACCCTACCAGACTCAGTCCATGGCCTTCCATACCCCCGTTGGCCCAGAGCCCTGTTTGAACCCCTGATGAATGTCAGGTTGCCTTCATTCTCTAGTGGGAGAGCCTGAGTCAGCACCCAGCTCAGAGCAGCAGGAACGTTGCACCTGGCTGAGCCAGGACGAGGATGTTCTCCCGGCACAGGGTCCCAGCTGCACCCTCAGCGGAACCTCGCGCCACGCCAATCCCCCAACGGCTGCCTGGAGACAGAGCTGCCCCAGTGAGAAGGTCCCTCAGGGTAGGGAAAGACAGGGGCCGTAGGAGCCAGCCAACCTGAAATTCAACCTTCCCCCATAAGCGGTCTTACGGACTTGTTGGCGTGAGAGCTGTTCAGCATGTTTCTTCTATAAAGAGGAATGCAACACCTTAGCCAGTGCGGGTCTGGGTGTGTATGAACGCGTGTGTGTGTGACATGGGACACATGGCATCGTGGTCCCCCAGCCTGTAATGCCCCCAATTCCTCCACATGTTTCCAAAAGCTCCCTGGGACTGGTCACCCACCCCTCCCCGGTGTGAGAACCCCAGGTGCAGAGGAGGTGACATTGTGAGCAAGACGAGACCATGGTGCCCATCGTGGGGCCTGGCGAGCACTGCCTCTCAGCCCCACTAAACCGAGGCTGACCACATGCTCCAGTTCTCTGAGAACTATCCAAGTTTACCCCATCGTCCCACCACTGTTATTAGCAATTCCTCTTCACTCTCCCAAAGTCCTGGTTTGGATGACAAGGTCGATGGTCACTGTAATCACACTCCTCTCCAGTCCAGGCCCCTGTGGGGTGGCCATACAACACGGGAGTGGGGGAAGTGAGGAGGGAGGTGGGAGAGGATGGGACAGAGAGAGAGAGAGACAGAGAGATAGTGAGAGTTGGAGAAGAAGGGGCAATGCTTGGAGGCAGAGTCGATGAAACACTCTTCCAGAAGCCCCTTCCAGAAACCAGAATATCTGAAGGAGAGAAGATCCTCAAGAAAGTAAACTTCTAGAGAAAATCCACTTCCAGCTCAGCCCTGAGGCATCAAGCATCCGTCTCTCTCTTCACCCACATGTCCACCCCTCCTCCCATACACACGCTATAGCACTTACTGAGTCCTAGGCTTTGGGGCAGAACTGGAGGAGAGCCCAGGTTCCAGGTCCCCTCTAAAACCCACCACCCCACCTAGCCCAGATCTCTGTCTGCATGCCAGCCCTTCTGGAGCACCCCTTCTACTTGGACGTCTCCAGAAGTCTCAGATTCATTGTGTTTAAAAAGGACTCCCCATCTCAGCCCCCCAGCCCACTGCCCAAACCTGCTCCACCATCTACTTCCCAAGGGCACTGCCGCGTGGGGACCTTCCTGTTCTGGATTCTTCCCTCTTGGTGGCTGCACCTTAACTCAGCAACCAGGTCCTGGGCCCCCTGCCTCAGTATCGCTCTGATTCTTGCCCAGCAGGGCTTTGCAGCAGGTCTGAGGTCCTCAAAGTGCTTCCCCGCAGGTCTCCCTGTCTCTAGCAGATGTCCCCGCGCCCTGCCATGCTACTACAGCGGAAACCATGTCCCATCCCTCTTCTGCCTAGAATCCGTCTGATTGACCAGAAGTTTCAGGACAGGGTACAGACTCCTTCACTTAGCATTCAAGACCCTGAGTAAGACTACCCCCCTCCAGCCTCTGCTCTACAGACCTTCCTGTGAAGCATTTGCTCCTATCACACGGAATGCTTGTTCCCCAGATGTGCACAATGACACACGTCGGTGTACCTTCTGTGTACACTTCTCTTTCTTCCCCCACTCCCCAGGACTTCTTCTCACCCCTCTGTATGCAACCCCAGCGCTTCCTGAGCTCCTTGACATCCTGCCTCCCACCCAGACCCCTCTGTATGCCCCAGGCACAAGGCAACACATGCTTAGCTATGTCACAGCTCCCTCTCCCCAATCCCAAAACCCTGCAACAAGCATCTAGGATGTGCCTGTGTCCCCTGCGGGCTGAAAGGGAGCCTGTCTTCTCCCAATGCTCAGTACCTAGCCCATGCCCAAAAGCCCATTCATTCATTCTTTACACACATATAAAAGTACCCATTCTGGGGTGCCTGGGTGGCTCAGTGGGTTAAAGCCTCTGCCTTCAGCTCAGGTCATGATACCAGGGTCCTGACGCTGAGCCCCGCATCAGGCTCCCTGCTTAGCAGGGAGGCTGCTTCCTCCTCCTCTCTCTGCCTGCCCCTCTGCCTACTTGTTATCTCTTTCTGTCAAATAAATAAATAAATAAAATCTTAAAAAAAAAAAAAGTACCCATTCTGTTCCATGCATGGTACTAAATGTCAGGGCTACAAAGATGAAAACAAAGATCCCACCCTCAAGAACTTTACACTTCAGGGGGGAAACCATCAAAAGAAACAGAAGAAGAAATATATCACATAATGTCAGTGAAGGGAAAGTAATATGAAGAAAAATAAAGCTAGGTAAGGGAAAAGGTTTCTATTTTAAACAGGCCATCTAAAATGAAATGGTGGCCTTGAAGCAGAAATATGAAGCAAATGAAGGGCAAAGGTTGCAGCTATCTAGAAGAAGAGCATTCCGTGTAACAGAAAACAGCAAGTGCAAAGGTCCTGAGGCAGGACTGCCCTCAGAGGACAATGTGGTTCATGGCAGCAGGGAAGCCAGGTAACCCAGGGAAGGCCATATAGGTTTCCCAAGTATGTCATGGCAAGGGTTAGGGACCTCATTCTGAGTGCTGGGGGAATGCATTGGGGGGTTTTGTGGGGGAGGTGGGGCAGAATGTAACTGAGGGTATGCAGAGGCAAGCTCAAACCCCCTTTGTCTACTGTACCTTGTGGCCCCTCACTTTCATGACTCCTGCCCACTGAACCAGAGAAGGGAAGAGGGGGCATGGGGTGCATTCTAGTCTCCCAGGAAGCATTTTGGGGTGGCAGGAAGGGCTAAGATGACAGGCAAGGAAGCACAAAGAATAAAACAGGAGGGAGAATGATACCCCACACTTACCACAATAGTGACCTTACCTTGGGACTCTCTTCTTTAGTGTGGCGGTGTCTAAAGGGAGAAAGCAGAGCATTAGGAAGGGGACACTGTGATCAGTGGAGCGGCTCGCTCGGTGCCAGGCAAGCAGGAGCCAGGCAGAGCTAAGAGTGCTCCTCGTCCTTCTCCTTTGGCTCTGCTGGAGCTTCTCTATCTAAGTCCCGTCACTGAGCCACCCCTTAGCGGGGCACCTAACTGAGCCTTCCCTAGAGCCTTGCTACCCCCATCACTCCTCATCAAACCCCTCCACTTGCCACTCCCAGACCCTCTTGGTCTAAGGGGATCCAACACGTCTCCCACTATGTGATGAAGAGGCTTCTTTCTCTCCCCTTGTGATCATAGGAATACAAAAACAATGGTCAGCAAAGTCCTGTGACTTATTAAGCCCCTTGTGCAGTGGGGCGGGGGGGCAGGGGGCTATCTCAGGATGCCCTGGAGGGGCGTGGCTCCTCTCCCTGGCCCTGACTCCGCCTTCTGCATATCTTCACGGATAACAATCCTATATTCCAGAGCCACAGTGAGGCTCGTTCCTCCTCACTCTTGGGAAAATGTCATGGAAAACTGCATCATGATCCCATTACTAAGCAGGCTGACAGGACTGGGGATGATTTTTGCAAGTCCCATCTTGAGAGAAAGGGGATGCCAATCAGTGCTGCATTTTGCGATCAAAACTCACAAACTGACTGCTGGGCCTGCGGGGTAAGCCTCCCTGAAGGTGCCACAAGGACACCAAGAGCCATGCCAGGATTCACACTGGCCCAGCTCTGTTCAGACCAAGGGGACACAGCACTGCTCTGAGTAGCACCAGCCCAGGTTATGACAAAAAAAAAAAAAAAAAGCCACTCAGCAGCACCTCCACAACCCACCCAGCCTCATCACCTCCTGGGATTCATTTTATCTGGTCACATCTTTGGATACGGGAATAAACACTTCGGTCCAAAGCCAACTCACCTCCCTTTCTCCAGCTTTCTCCAAGAAATCTGATTCTTAGGAATGGAAAAGTACAGAGAGAAGAGGGGAGGGGGAGAGATGGACAGAGACACAGAGAGGCCTCTGCGTTTCTTTCCAACCCAGTCTGTCAGTATTTCTCTGGCCAAGTTTCGGGGGTGATGGGGCCCTTGGGGCTCAGGCTGCCGGGACTGTCCTGGTCTGGGCGGGGTGGAACCGGGCCAGAGGTCGCTGCTCCCTTACCATTGAAGCCTGGGTTTGTGCTTCTCAAGTCTGAGGAGTCGATATCAAACAAATGCTTCTTGATCATGCAGATCTTCAGGACCAGGAAGACAGCCAATATGGCGATGCCCACAGCCGTCCCAATGAGGGCGTACTTGATGTCTGCAGGGCAGGGAGGAATGCAACGGTAGGTATCCATCCGTCAGTCACCACTCTGCAAAGCTCTTCTACAGCCCCCTTCACATTCAGGCTCAAGTCCAAAGTCACCAGAAAAGTCCACATCTAATCCGCTGAAGCCCAGGGCCACATTTGTCCCCTACCCCTCACCTACCCCCCCCATCCTCTCCTCCTGGAACCCCATCCCGCTGTCTTCAGCCCTGGGAGTCATTTCCCAGAGACTGATGGCTCCCTTTTCCGGCCTCCTGTAGCCCTACCTCACTTGCCTTTGCATTAATTCATTTATGGAGCACATGTTAACTGCCTGCCTGCTCTGTGGTAAGTTTGGAAGGCAAAGGAAGAGATCTGACTCCATCTTGAGGGCAGATGGAGGGAGGAGTGGGAAGCCCAGCAGAGTGCAGGGCACTGTGGGGGCTGGAGCTGTGTATCAGAGGAGGGCAGGCCTGGTGACTCCGGGGCCCTTTGGAGAAGGGCTCTCCAGCAGGTCCGTGCCCCTTAGGGTAAAGCTGTGTTAGTCCTTGGGCGGATGTGGAAGTGAGTGCTGCCCTGTTCTGTGATGACCCACAGGAAACCCGCCAGGCTCTGAGCACACCACCCCTCGCCCCCGCCCCTCCTGCCCCCCTCAGCCCTGCACAAAGAGGAAGCTGGGCACCTACCAATTTCGGCCCCAGCAGACTTGCCCGTTGCTAACACCGGAGCTCCTCCAACATCTGCAAAGAAAGAAAACCCAGAGTCTGGTTAGAACCAAACTGGTGGCTGTGATCAGACCAGGGGTGGAGGGCCAAAGCCCTGTCCCCAGCGTATCTCCCACAGGTCCAGGAAGGCCTGGCATGCTTGGCCTCCAGCCTCAGGAACACAGAAGCAGGCTGCTGGTTGCCACGAGCATCCTGGAGCCTCGCCGGGACTTCAGCACCTTTCTTCCAACCCAGGCCAGGAGTTCCATCCAGTTCCACTCAGCTGGCTCTTACACATGGCCTCCCAGACCCACACCAACCGCAGTCTGCTTCCTTAGCCCCTTCTGTCATTCCCATGAAGCCTCTCATCCCAGGCAGACTACCCAGCTCCTAGTTCCCCACCTGGGCCAGGGATCTGCTGCCTCTGGGCCATTCCTCAACCTGGTCCTGTCTTCTCCTCTTGCTTCCCATGTTACGTCCTCCTGAGCCCCCTATACCTGGCTTGGCTGTGTGCCCCATGGGGGCTGTTCTCAGCTGCCAAAGATGACCACACCATTTACTTAATGATGTTAATGGTGCACTGTTGGGTGCCAAGCACCCTCCGTCCTAAGAGCTTCTCAACTATGAATCCTCTGGCCCATACCTTCTTGCCAGTCCCCGCTCTGTGCTGTCTGTGCCCCATGAAGTGTTCTGCCCCTAGCACATGACACAGCATCTGGCATGAAGAAGGCATCAACACAAGTTGCCAAATGAATGGTGGTGATAGGTTGTACTGCAGGGGTGCCTCACACTTCTGGCCAGAGCTTGAAAGCTTCCATCAAGAGACGGGGCTCACACTGGGGCCACAGTCCTGCAGACTGGCCCTCAAAGACCAACAACAAAGCGGCAAGCCTATAGGGGAAGGGGCCTATGGGGCAGAGCTATAGGGGAAGGCGCCCAGTAACTGGCCACTGACTTGGAGGTGACACTGGCTGTGGCATGAATGCGCTGCAGCTACAGCTCCAGGAACCAGGTGCTACTATCATCTCCATGTGATGAATGAGGAACCAGAGACCCTGAAGACTTGATAATGGATCTAAAACCCAAGGGAGGCAGAATGTGGCAGGGCCAGGACCAGAGCCATGCCACTTGCACTGGGAGCCTGTGTCACCCTGCAAACTCGAATCCCAGGGAGTTAGGAGAATGATGCCACAAACCACAAGGTCAAGGGCTGAAGGGGCTTGGGCTGTGGTGGGTGGACGATGAGATCCAAGCCTGGTTCTAGGTACAAGCTTCCAGGCAAAGGCAGAAGCAGTTTGAATGATCAAAGAATCGGAGTTTGAATGATGACTGAGGGCCCTGTTTGCTGACTACGGACAATGCTGCCTGGGGTGACGCGTTGGGTCGACACTCTACAGAGGACATCTTGCTCTGCATGGGTCCGGTGGGGAAGGGATAATCATCATGGAGTTTGGGATTTTTCTGGTGGCCTCACTTAGTCAATGGATAAAGTCGGAGTTATGAAGCAAAAGTGCAAAGACTTGCTCTAATCACAAGTCCTCTTGGAAAGTCAATGACTTCTGTCTTTCTGTCCACTCACCTAAACATCACAGACACCCCCACATACAATATGACCTTAGTCTTGTCAGTTCTCCCAAGCTCCTGCTAAGCTCCACTGTTTCTTTACATTAAATCTGTTGTACCAGCTAGCTTGAAAACCACTCCAGGGAAGGGACAAAATCTTCTATTTTGTACGTGGTTGGCCTTGGCTGTTATGAGTAGCTTGGTTAGGAGCTGACTTCCAGATGGATGCCCAAAATTGAGAGTTTCATATGCCCCCTGCTCACCCTGGCTCCTTTCCTGACACCAGTCTGGCCCCAGTCTGCCATCACTGGGCAGCAGGCAGGGGACAGAGCAGGGCAGAGAATCAGCAAGCAGGACCAGTCACACAGAGGGACAGTCTGTCCCCTGTCCCCTTCACACACAGATCTCTTTCCTGGGTCTCCCACTGGTGACCATCGCTCTCCACGTAACGCATGCAGTGTAAAAACTTTATATGAGCACAAGATGAAACTTCAATGGGGAAAGGAGAAAGATCACAGATCAGGAAAAGCAGATGGAAAAAGTCAGAGAGCCAGAGAGAGAGAAACACAAAGAGACTCGGTCACACAGGGACACACAGAGGTGGGCCACAGGACCTCAGACCACAGGAGCTCAGACCACAAGGCTCATAAGGAAAGAGGAGAAAGAATTTGAAGTGTCAAAAACCGGCCAAGTCCTGCCCTCCCTGACAGCACTGGGCCCCAGCACTCAGCAGGCAGCCCAGCTTCCCTCCGTCATCAGCCTGGCTCACAAGTGACACTGTCCTCCACGCTTGGCTCTTTCTGCCCTTCCCTGACAGGGACTCGAGGGCTGGGGTTCAGCTCAGCTGTCACTCCTCACCCCCACCGCGCACTGACACGCCACTCTCTGCGTTCCATTTTGTATTGGCCCCAAGCCCTGAGGCTGCCCCTAATCCTTGTCCCCAAACAGGCTCCTGGGGCTTAGGGCTCCCCTACCAGTTTCGAGGTCAGGGACTGAATTAGCCGCAGGCAGACAAAACGGGCGGTGGACACATTGGTCCCAGTAATTCCTGCGAGCCAGCCAGATGGCCACTCGGCGGCAGCCTTTCCCTCCTTGGGGAGGGAACTCCCTCCTTGCAGCCTTCCCCCTGCTCTCCGCATCTCTGCCCTGAGCTCTAACAAGGCCCTGGGTGAAGATCCATCGTAAGCACGCTAGCCCAGCCGACCCCAGCCCCGCCTCCTGCCAGGGTCTTGAACTGGAGTAGTCCCTCCTGGGCCATAGACCCCTGCGAGGCCCCAGTGCTTGTTTCCCCTGCTTCTGCAAACTAGCTGGAGGATGGATGGCCTTAGCGGCACAGCCAGAGACCTCCAGCATCTAGACCTGTGGGAGCCCCAGGAGGAAGTCTCAGGGCATGTTCTTTGCTGGATTTCTCTGGGTTCTCTTGCAAACAGGAGGAGGAAGCTGAGCATCCAGAGGACAGACTCTCCAACGCAGGAGAGAGTCCAGGGGGCCTTGGCGGGGGCTGACTGTACCAAGGTTGGTCTCCCTGGGGGGCATGGAAGGACTGTGTGGATTGGTTCACCAAGCAGTATAGCAGGCACAGCGCTGGCCAAATCTGACTTGACCATCAGCACTCCTCAGGCCGCCCACACTGAACCAGGCACTGGGGACAGGAGGAGAGGCCCCAGAGCCCAACCCTGGTTGCTGTCTGGCACAGAGAGCAGAGGCCTGTTCTTAGATGAGTCTCCGCCCTCCTAGTCTTCCTGTGCCCCCGGGAGATCCCACAAAGTCACACACCTGAGGCTATACCTGTCAAGGGATGGTGCCCTTTCCTCGGGTGCACAGAGGCACTATGGCTCTGAGTCTAGAGTCCTTGCTACCTCTTCGTGCCCCCTCTGAACATTCTGCTGCCCAAGGATACTCTTCCACCCCTCCCTGCCGAAATAGCCAGTCTCCAGCTCTCCTCTCTGCAGACCCTCCCGCCCCAGTCACCTAGAGCCTCGCCTGCTTCTGCCAGTGATTTCCAAACAGAAAGGAGCTTCCTGCAAGAGTAAATGGTCCTGAGGCCTTGAGGCTGGCTGGGTCCCCTCGCCTGGGACATGAGAGGACAACCTGCAGGGGAAGGCAGCAATGGGGTTGCTCTCTGAGACTGAGCTGAGGGTACAGCATGGCCTTGCCCCATCTCAGTTGGAACCTGACCCACAGAGAGGCCATCCCTGATGTCCAGACCGACTGTGCTGCTCGTAACACCTGTTGGGCCCATCCCCGATGGGGGCTGGAAGTCTTCACCACCCTTATTTGGGCAGAATTAGACTATGTGGTTCCAGTTGTGGGGTAGTGGGCGTGCGAGCCCTCAGATGTCGTTCTATAAGTATCTGAACTATAAATAAGGAGAAGCTGCCCTAAGTGTTTGTCAACTGATGCCCCATCATCTTCATCTTGGAACTTAAATATTGCAGAGTGGCTCCTAACTTTAGATCTCATGGATTCTAATGTTCCCACCCAGAGGAAGGGGCTTCGAGTGTCTAGACAGGCATCCGTCCTCTCTTAATGTTGTCGGGAAGTGCCTGCCATGCACTCTGGACAGGGAATCTGAGAGCAACCCAAGTCCCCTGTCCCCCATAAAGGAGCTCATGGAGTGACAAGGGAGACAGAAGGAAAAATCAGAGCATCATGGGTGATGTCCCGCACCTTCCTGCAAACTTCCATCTTCACTAGGTAGAAGTCTGAAGGGGAACCTGTAGGATGGAGACTTGCTGTGTGGTCCACACCCTTCCCCTGACCCAGAAATCCTTCTGCTTTCCTTCAGTGAACTACCTCCATGTGATTCCCCCAGGGCTGGCTCCAGGGCGAATACATGAACACCTGATTAATTAGCATATTCCAGCTTCCTGTCAGCAGTGATTGGTTGAGGGGTGGGGCAGGTGATCCAATTCAGGCCAGTAAGACTCAACTCTGAGACTTTGAGGAAAATATGAAGAAACAGTGGTGTCTTCTGGAATTGGTAACAGTGGGCAGAGGAAGGTCCACAGGATGGAGAGAATCTGCTGGGACTGAAGCCCCCACAGAAGAGGGTCAAGTCGAGACCAGGTCTTAAAGATAGATGTTAAGCGCCTGAATCCAGCTATGCCTGAAACACCTCTTCTTGACTTGCCGGTCACCTTAGTAAGGAAACACTTTCTTTAGTTTAATCTGATCTGAGCGGAGTCACTGTCATCTGCAGTCAGAAAAGTCCTGAGGACTTGGGTGGCAGGTCCTTCACAAAGCATCTCCAGAAATCAGGCTCGCGAGGCAGGGAGGGGAGCAGAGAATGCTGGCTGGGAACAAGCTGCTCACAGCACAGTCACTGATAAACCCAAGTAGGACCTGCCGGCTAAGCAGCTGTTGCTCCTCTGCCTGGCGCATGCCGCCAGCCGATGCAATGCCTGCCTTGTTCCCGTGGAAAGTTCTTACTTATCCTTCAAGTCTTAGCACAAAGCTGCCTCTTCTGAAAGTCCCCTTTCTCTGTGTCTGTTCAGGCTCACCCTTGCCATCTTGTCACACCTCTGCCCCTGCTCTATGTACGCTGTCCCGCAGGTCATTCTCTAGCACAAAGGACATGTTTCAGAAAAAGCAGCTTGTCTCCAAGGCCAGGATGAGAGGTGAGACTCCTTAGAACTCAATTTCTCTTCCTGTGAGATGCAGAGAGAAGCAGGAAGGGAGGAACATGGAACTAACTGGGAAGTGACCCCAAAACTACTGAGCATGAATCCAGAAATGGCTTCAAGCGATGAGACTGAGTACCCAGTACTAAGTGATAATGCAGGCTCCGGAGGGAAGTAAAGTGAAGCCAAGGAGAAACAAGGGACCATTGCTCTTGTAACTCTGAGACGGGAAACTCTTGTGGCACACCCTCAGAGCACATGTGGCACACCCATGGCACACGTGTGCCTGCCACTGCTGTGGATGCCTCTGTCTCCCCTCGTCCCCTGTCTCCCCAGGTCAAGCACAGTGCAGCAAGCATCCCTCTTCAGTCCTCTCCTGGGCTGGCCTGGGTGACGGAGCACTCTGGCTCCCAGGGGCTGCTGGGTATGCGCTGGGGTCTCGAGCCTTCCCCTGACACCGCTGTGACTTGAAGAAACCTCAGGCTCCCTGTCCGCAAGCCCAGGAAGCTCCCGAAACTGCTCTTGCTCCATCCCACCTTCTGGTCTTGTTGGCCAGACTGCAGTGGCCGGCTCCAGGGAAATAGGCCTCACTGCTCCTCTCCCAGGGTGGTGGTGTTCCCCCTTCCCAGGAAAGCTCCTAGACTCCAGGGCAGAGCCCACACCTGCTGGAGCCGTGCACGTTCTAGACATAGAAAGTAAAAGGAAAACTGAGGAGCAAGGACAGCAGCACAAAGATGGCTCAGAGGGGCCTCTGTCCACAGACAGAGGGCACACTAGGTCAGACCACCTGCTCAGCAAACCCAGCTCAGCACCCCCGGCCTGGCCAGTCATGTGCCCTGACGCCCGACCCTGCCCACTGAGCAGGGAATTCCTTGCACAGGGTCCCAGTCGTACATGGAAGTGTGCATCCAGCAGCCATCTGGGAGGACCGAGGGGTGCCTCCCCCAGCCTGGGGGAGTCAGAGAAAGGCCCCTGGAGTAAGCATTATTTAAATTAAAAACAAAAGGACAAGTAGGACCTAGTGAAGGTGGGAGGCTGAGCAATGGGGCCAGGCAGGGCCGGTGTCTAAGCAGAGGAAGAGGCACCAGCAAAGGCCAAGAGGCAGAGGGAGAGCAAGGGCTTAGGAATAAAAAAGGCAACTCGGTGAGTCAGAGCAGCGAAGGGGGCACTGGTAAACTGAGGCTTTCAGGGTTTTCCAGAGGATGAGGACGGGACAGCTAGCCAGGACCCAGCTGCCCTGAGCAAGATCTAGAGTCTGGAGGCCACCAAGAAGAAAGAGAGGCTAACCCAAGGCTCCCAAACACGCAGGAAAATGCCTCCAGTTTCCAGAAATAACCTCATAATTAAGAGGAAAATAATACTGGTGGGTCACCAGACAGTACCAAAACTTGTGCCCACTTTGTTTTGCCTTAGCAATCTTTGCTAATTAATTCTTAAAGATTCACACACTGGGATTAAAACACTCAGCTACAGAAGCTAAACTGATCGATACCCTTCCAGACTAATGGAGGGGCTGGAGGCAGGGAGCCGGCTTTGGCCCAAGGTAGACCCAAGGGCACTCCACAAATGGGGAGCTGTCCCAGAGGGGCAGGACCCTCCCAAGGCATCCCAGACCCATGCTGGACAGCAGGAAGTGACATCAAACCCTGTCACAACTAGCAGGGATGCTGCTGAAACCTTGAGGAAGCGAGAGATGCTGGAAGCCAGGGGGAGCGTGAGGCTGCTTTGGTGGCGTGCATGGTGGTGTCTGGGGAGGGCAGGACTGGAGAACCCACCATACGGATGCCCGGCTAACCCTATACACACCTTGTTGAGGGCGCTGGTCCCTCTTTGAATGTCTTCAGTGGGGCATGAGTGCTTCATATGACTGACTCCATGGTGAGTAGAAAGGAATGACACTCAGAATCGGAGCTTCTGAATCTCCAGTCTGCCACTGCTCTGCCAGTGGCCTGAGGCCGGACAGGACGGGACTGGCAGCTCAGTGGCCTGAGCAACAGCTGACTCGCAACGGGGCTGACCACAGGAAGCCTCCTTATCGCACACAGAATGCTGTGACGATCCCCTGAAGTTGTGCGGCATAGACCGAGGTGCAGGAGGGAAGTCTCCACAGGCCCTCAACCACCCCCTTGAGATGGTGTCCTCCCCTTTCCTGGAGGCCACGGGAGATGTGGGGAGCACAGCATGCCAGGAAGCAGCCCTGGGCAGGAACTCAGGTGGGAAAGATTATCCTCCCTGTCAGCAGAAGTCACAGAGCTGGACAGAAACCTCCAGAAGGCTGTGTGAGGCCAGGTGTGGGGACAGCTCACCCACTCCATCCCGGGGCTTCAGCCCAGGGAAGGCCCGTTTGCAAGAGTGCCTTTGCAGAGAGAGCAAGGGCGGCTGGAAGCAGCGCAGAATAACTAATTAATGATGGTAAAGTATTGTGGAAGGGGAAAGCGCTGCATAACCGCTAAGTGGTGGGGTTATTATTATTCATGCAATATTCATACTGTGCTCTTCAGCCTCGGAGAAGCTCCGTTCCGCAGCCCTCAGGGACCAGCTGAGGCAAGCATGTGCCCAGGGGGCGGGGCTGTGGGATGACAGCTGGCCTGGCCCGCAGGGAAAGGCTCAAGACACTGCAGCGGAAACAGCAACACCCAGCCAACACGAGAGCCCCCGGGGCCTTGGCGACACCACTCCACCTGCCTCCATCTACCAGGACCGAAGTTCTCCGAGCCCTACTGTGCGCCAGAGTCTGTGCTGGGTGTTTCTTGGTCAAGGCAGCTCCTGACATCTGCAGAGTCCAGAGCATACCATAGTCTAAATATTTAAAAGTCAGAGATCCGTTCACACGTGGCCCAGCCCACTTGCCGCTCAGGGCCCTGCAGCCCACCCCCCAGGAGTCATCTTTCTGAGGGGGAAGCTTAGCCCTCCTAAGGGCCCAAAGGCTGGCTGGTCTGTTGGGCAGGAAGTGGGTCCTGGCCTGGGCCTCTTGGAATGCCAGGATGCTGCGGGATTCAGGACAGGTCAGTCTTCCCACCCCGCCTTCTCCCCAATGCCTCAATTTCCCCCCTGGACTTCTGGCCAGCACTGAGGTATGCCTCCCAAACTAGTTTGCCAAGTGGAGGAAAGAAGTGAATTTTTCTGGTCCTCTGCCAAGGAATGCCCGTTGGTCATGGAAATAAAAGCAGTCCCTCTCTTACTGTCTAGATCCCAGGCCCCCACAAGGCTGGTTTCCTCCCTGGACACACCCCCCTCACTTTCAGCAGCCTGGTGGACACACACAAGCCCCTCTCCTTTATGAGTGCATGCTGACCCAGTTCCTGAACTTGGGAAATCCTTTATGACAAGACTGGAAAGAAAAAAAATCTTCGCTTTGCATATATATGTGTGAATGTGTGTCCCCCAGAGTAGGGACAGGGCCCTTTCTCCTGGGTCCTTGACCCTCATCTCTCCAGGAAGCTCCAGCAGGTGAGGGGTCATCTCGGGGTCACACCCCTGAATAGGGGAGTCCTGGGGTTGGAACCTGGGTTAGCCTGGCTCTAGGAAAGGGTCTCACGCTGGAACCTGGGCTGGACAGTGGCTCCAAGTGGACCACAGTTTCTCCCTTGTCACGTGTGGCTTAGTAAGGACTCCCTGGCAGCTTGGGAGGGTCTCTGTTCTTAGTGCCCCGAGGTCAGCTCAGGGACCCTCTCTGAATATCTCCGGAGCCTTCCCTGGGTCAGCCCCATCCAATGTTGTTTTCTGTGGGGTTGAGCATGGGCCAGCCACAAGCTATGACAGACACCAACACCTCAGCCAGAGCCTCCGACCTCAGACCACAAGCTACTTCCAATGGGGAAGCAAGTACGAGATGTGCAATGGGGCCTGCAAACCAGCAGACCCTGCTGGTGTGGCCCTGGACAGACCTTGCCTATCTGCTCTCTCCCAGAAGGTTTGCCTCCAGCCAACCCAACTGCTACACTACAGCTGGCAAGCTCTTCCTGCAAGGCTGTGGCAAATGCCCTCCAGGAGAAAGCTCTCCCCTTCCTCCCCGTGACTCACCAAGCCCTCCTCCTCCCCTGGCCCGTACTCGCCTGTCAGCCTCACTCAGTATTCCCCTCTGAGCCAGCCTACCTCCTGCCTGGGCCCTGGCAGGGGCTGTCCTCTCTTCTTAGAACTCCTTCTTTCCCATCCCAACCAGATTCGTTTCTGCACAGAGTTCCTGCAGACTGGCTCCTGGAAGCTGGGGTTGTACTCTAGGCACTAATCAACACACGGACAAGTGCTGTTGCTGGCCATTTGCTGGGCGGTGACCTGGCGAGACCAGATCCTTGCACCAACAAAAGTGATAGCCCAGAGGGGGAACAAGATCCCAAAAAAGCAACCATGAAGACAGGTATACTGTTAGGATTGTGAGGAGCTCTGTGAGAAGAGTATCTCCCAGGATCCTGGGGAGGAAAAGCATGAACCCCATACAGAGCAGACGATATGTGAGGAGAAGCCTTCACAGCTGGACAGGAACTTGACAGCTATTCCATAGGCCTGGACAGCAGAAACACGGGGTGGTGCATGTGATGGGGCTGGTCTGTTGTCACCCTAAACACTTTGGTCTATCCTGGTAGCCATGGAAAACTGTTAAAGGATTTTAGCCACACGGGGGCGCAATTAACTCTCACTCAATAAGACTCTTCCTCCAGGAAGCCCTCCTGGACACCCAAGCTTGCATCAGGAGCCTTTTCTCTGTCTCCCTCCATTTTCCTTTATCTTAGTACCTAAGACACCACATTGCAACTGTCCTTCCTATAGGCTGTCAACTCCTTCAGATCAGGGCTTGAATCTGTGTCACAACAGAGTCTGATAAAAATCAACATTCGCTTACCGAAAGCAAAAGCTCCCATATCTATGTGTCCCAGTATTGTAGGGTGGCCCAAGAGCCTAGCTCCAGGCCCTTCCCCTCTTCCCCTGGGCAGCAACTCCTTGACAATACGACCCAAAGGTTTGCATAGGTTTCTGAGGGGATGCAGGCGGGTTCCAGGCAGAAATTCGCCAGCTGCTCATCTGTTTTGTTCAGATGAGCAGGAGAGAGCAAGCCCGTTCATCTCACTGAGAACCATTAGCCCGTTATTTAATGGAATCAAATTTAATAAAAGGAGCAGTTCAGGCAATTCTGGAGGATAAATGAGGGTCTGGATGTGACAGAGATGCTTACAGTGACTTTAAAGAGGAAGCACAAGTGGTTAACGTGGAAGTGAGTGAAAAACTCTGCTGATCTGTGTGACAGCCACGCTGACTCCTGTCCAGTGTTCAAGGACCACCGGGAATTCCCAGCAGGTGTTTTGCGGAGGTCCACATTGTCCTTACCTGAGGGCATTTTCTTCCCTCAGGATCCCCCAGGATCAGTGCTGTGTGTCTGAGAGATGTTAAGGAGCCCAGAATCCCCTCCCCAAAGAGCTTCCTCCAAATCGCCCACCCATCAGGTTCTTAAAAACTCGTCTCAGACCTCCATTTCTGGAAAGATAGAACAGGCTTACCTTTCCCTATTCTTCTCACTAAATAAAGCTTAAAACCTAAAAATAGCTTAGACAAAAACAAATAAACAAACATAAGAAGATCCTGAAAGATGGAGAGAAGAAGGCAGACTTGCTGAGGACCTTGGGGGCCCCACAGGAGGCAGCATGTGGCCTGTGGTCAAAGTGTGGCTGTCACAGCTCATAAAAATATAAGTCAACAAAACAGACTTTCTTTCTCCTCTAAGATTTCTAAATTCTGTTTGACTGTTTAGGCTAAGAAATAACATGTCTAAAGTAGTTCCCAATATATGTAGAGGAAATATTTAAGAGAGGAAAGGGACATAGAGACACAATTTCCAGTTTTCACTTGAACTGTTAAAATGTTGATAGCAGTAGATGATGATACATTATGCATATATAATGGAATACCTACCGTACCAGTCCAATGGTAGGAATACCTACCATTCCAGTGGTTCAGCAACCACTGAAAAGGCAATGAAAAGAAATATGTTCAAAAACACTACAGACTAATCAAATGGAATTCTATAAAAGAATGTTCCAGTAACACACAGGAAGGTAGGAAAAAGAGAAACGAAAAACAGAGAACAAGGAGAAATCATAATATAAAGGGGTGGACTGAAAGCTCCAACATATCAAGAGCTACATTAAGTGTAAATTGCCTATATCTGCTAATTAAAAAACAGGTTTGCAAAGCTTATTTAAAAAATGATTGAACCATATGCTGTCCACAAGAAACTCACCCTAAATATGATATAGGTACGTAGAAAGTAAAAGAATGAAAAAAGAAATCCATGCAGACATTAACAAAAAGAAAGAGGAGTGGCTATATTTATATCAGAGACATTTTAGAGCATAGAAAATTATTAGGGCCAAAGATATTACATGACATTGTATTACATTACATAATGATAAAAGAGCCAATCCACCAAACAGACACACTAATCCTAAATCTCTATAATCAAACACAGCTGTAAAATCTGTGAAGCAGAAACCAATAACACTGAAAGGGAAAATAGACAGATGCCCAGCTATAGTTAAAGGCTTCAATAGCCCTCTCTCAACAACTGATAAAACAACTAGACAGAAAATCAGCCATGATAGAAAAAAATTCAACCATATTATCAAGCAAAAGGACCCAACGCCAGCAGGATATGCGTTCTCTTCAAGCACTTCTATAAGATATATCAAGGTATCTAGACTACATTCTGCATCAAACATCAACAAAATTAAAATAATTTCACTCATACAAAGTGAAATCACAATGGGCTCAACTAGAAATCAACAATAGAAAGATAACCAGAAACTTTCCAAACACTTGGAAACTAACAATACTTCCACAAAATTCATGGGTCAAAGAGGAATTCTCAATGGAAATTAAAATATTTATTAACTAAATAAAAATGCAAACACACATATTAATATTTGTGGGGCATAGCTAAGATGGTGCTGAGAGGGCAATTTTTAGTACTAAATGCTTACATTAGGAAAGAGGTAAAGTCTTCAAACCAATAATCTAATATCTCACTTGAAGAAATCAGAAGAACATCAAAATAAAGCCAGAACACACAGAAGGAAGTAAATAATAAAGACAAAATCAGAAATCAATGAAGTTGAAAACAGAAAAAAATAATAAAATGGTTTATTTATTAACATTTAATAAATGGTTAATAAAAAGAAACAAAAAATCCAATACTTCGAAAAGATCAATCAGATAAACCTCTATTGAGACTGACAAGGGAAAAAAGAGAGATGACACCAATATCAGAAGTGAAACAGGAACATCACTATAGATGCTATAGACATCAAAAGGGTAATAAGGGAATACTATGAACAGCCCTACACATAAAAACCTGGTGACTTACGGACAACTGGGTGACACAGTTGGTCAAGCAACCAACTCTTGGTTTCAGCTCAGGTCATGATCTCAGGGACTTGAGATTGAACCCCATCATGGGCTCCACACTCAGTAGGGAGCCTGCTTGAGATTCCCTCTCCATCCCCATCTGCCCCTCCTCCCCATGTGTACACTTTCAATCTCTCTTTCATAAATAAATGAATCTTTGGAAAAAAAAAAAAAAGAAAAACCTGGCGACTTAGATAAAATGGGCCAATTCCTCAAAAAGTACTAACTGTCACAACTCATCCGATATGAAATACTTTGAAGCCCTATAACTATTAAGGAAACTGAACTCATAATCTACAAACCCCAAAAAAGAAATCCACAGGCCGAGACAGTTTCAGGGGAGAATTCTAGCAAATGTTTAAAGAATAATTAACACCAATTATGCAAAACCCCATCCAGAAAATAGAAGAAAAGGGAAAGCTTCCTAATTCATTTTACGAAGCCAACATTACCATGACATTAGGACCAGAGAAAAAAAGGTGCAAAAAAGGACAACTACAAACTAGTGTTCATCATGAATACAAACTCAAAAACTCTTACCAAATGCTATCAAATAGAATTCAGAAAAATAAAAGAATTATACATCAAGACCAAATGGAGTCTAGTCAAGGATGCAAGTCTGGTTTGGTATTCAAAAATATATCACTGCAATCCACCACATTAACAAATAACAGAAGAATAAAATCACATGATCATATCGAGTGATGCAGAATTCTAAACCCATGTATGACCAAAATTCTCAGAAAACTAGGAAAAGAGGGAAACATCATCAACTTATTAAGAATCTACAAAAAATCCTACAGCTAACATCACACTTAATCGTAAGAAACAAGGTGTTTTCCCACTAAGAACAAAAATAAGGCAAAGCTATTTGCCATTGTCCTACCTGTTGAACATAGTACTGGAAGCTCCTGCCAGTCCAATGAGACAAGAAAAGGAAATTAAAACAACATACCATTCAGAAAGGGGAAAATACAACCATTTGCAGTTCATGGTCCACATAGAAAATCCCAAGGAATCTAAAAAATAATCCCTAAAATTAGTAAGTGAATTCATTAAGGTGGCAGAATAGAAGATTGACATACATAAATCATTTATACTTCTATATATTAATAGTTACGCACAGAAAGAGAAATTTAAATACAATTTATTATCACCCCCACAAAAAATACTTAGATATAAACCTAATAATACATGTACAGATGTCACATATTAAAAATTCCACAATGGTGATGAGAGAAATAAAAAAGAATCTTAATAAATGGAGATACAAACCAAGTTCATGGAAAACTCAGCTAATAAAGATGTCAAACCACCGCAAACTGATTTCTAGATTTAATGTAATTCCCATCAAAATCCTTGCAAGATTTTTTTATTGATATAGATAAGATTATTCTAAAATTTACATGGAAAGATAAAGGAAATAGAATTGCTAAAAACCTTTTTTTTTTTTTTTTTTTTTTTTAGAAAATGAAGAATAAAGTAGGAGGGATCATTCTAACATCTTGAAATTTACATACCTACAGAAATCAAAACTGCTTGGTATTGGCAGAGGGACAGATCAATGGAAAAGAAAAGATGACCCAGAAATAGTCCATACAAGAATGACCAATTGATTTTGGACAATGGAGCAAAAACAACTCAAAAGAGGAAGAATAGTTTTTTCCACCAGTGGTGCTGGAGTGATTGGATATCTATAAGTAGCAACAACAACAACAATAAAGTATGCTGAGCTAAATTCACAAATGAACTCCAAGTGGATTATAGAATCAAATGTAAAAGATAAAACTGTACAACTTGGTGAAAGGTAAAATAGAAATGGGGTGATTTAAAAGGGAAACCAGGAGGTCATTAAGGTCATTAAGGAGATGGACCTTATTCACACCCTCACTGGATAGACCCATGAACTTCTGAACTGGGTCAAACTGCAAATATTTCAAAGACTCAGCCAGAACACCTATGACTTGTTAAGAGAAGTTAAGTAAAGGCTTAATGATAGTCTTAGCAACCAATTATATTCAATCAAGATTACTTTTCTGTTGCTAACACCAATCAAAATTCTTTGTAAACAATATTCAAGCATTCCCTTTGTCTTTAGAAACCCTTGACTTCTGTTCCCTAGAGGGGAGAGGAGGTGCACTATTTGTGTTGTGTTGTTAAATCTTCTGTGTTCCTGAATTACACTTCCCCCAATCAATGATTTTTGTTTTTGTTTTAGTTCTGCTTTTTTTTTTTTTTTTTTTTTTTTGGTTGACAGCTTTTAGGAGAAAACATAAGATTAAGGGAGGAGCAAGATGGCAGAAGAGTAGGAGAAAACATTAGATAAAATCTTGGAGACCTAGGGCATGAGTAGTGAAAATGTCTCAGATGTGCTATCAAAAGCATGATCCATAAGGGAAAAAAATATCAGTAAACTAGACTTAATTAAAATTAAGTACTTTTGTTCTATGAAAAACCCTGTGAGGAGGATGAAAAGACCAGATAGAGACTGGGAGAAAATATTTTCAGATCACGTATTTGACAAAGGACTCATATTCAGAATATATTAAGAACTCTTAAAATTCAATAGTAAAGGAAAAAGCAAGCAAACCAATTAGAAAACTGGCAAAAGTCATGAAGAGAATGCTGGCTTGACCAGGACATTTCTCCTCACCTTCCCGGGGTCCTCCCTTTTTCCTTTATGTTCCACTGACTTTCCAAGTGACCCTGCTGTATTGTTTTCTTTTGTTACATTTGTGATAAATTGTTGCATGGGAAAAGAAAACTAACATGTCAAGAATTCTTTCTTCCTGGAATCCACTCACTGCCTGATTGTGAACCATTGTCTTGGCAGGAATCTGAAACAGGGGAAAAGCTGTCAGGAAAGATTTTTACAAAGATCTCAGGGACTAAGAGCCAAGGAATAAAGTGATGACTTTGACTTGTAAGATAAAAACGAATTTAATTCTCTTTACCCCAGCCTCTGCCATCTTTTCATTATAAATTAAGGGGGGGGGTGGCGGGAAGCCTCTGTTCTCTTCAATAACTCTGGCTCTTTCAGTGAAGAATGTTTTAGGCACTGGAACATAATTAAAGTGATATTGTATTTCTTTTATTATCATGATTATAATAATACATAGATTTCAGCGAGTCCTTTCCAACAGAATTAAAACGGAGACAGATGGTTGACATTTTGGTTGGAATTAAGAGTCCATAGGAATATTTTATCTGGCAGCCTTTTAAAAAGGAAGGTACAAACCTCTAAGAAAATGCCTAGATATCTCACCAGATATTTTCAATAGCTATTCTTAGAGCCATATTTTAGCAAAATTTAGCAATATTGATCAGTTGGTAGTTAAGTGGCAAATAATTTATTTAGAATTGTGACAACCGTAACCCACAATCTGTGGAGGCCGAGAAAAATCAAGGCCATCACACCTCAGGTTTAACCTTAGCATAAGTACAGCCATCTTAGCTCCGGCAGCCATCTCAGACCCCTGTGCCCAAGGGCTGAACTTTCCCCCACCCTGCTTTAGTAACCCCCACCCTGCTTTGGTTCCAGGAAGCCCCACCCTGCTTTAGTAACAGGAACCCATAAATACCCCTGCCTTAACTAAGCTCGGGGTCCAAGTCCCTACTCTGCTGTGTCGGTTATACTTGGGCCCAAGCTTAAGCTTGTCAAATAAACCCTCGAGTGATTGCATCAGTGCTTGGCTCCTTGGTGGTCTCTCAGACATGAAAACTCCAGCACAACACATCAGCTATAAGTATTTTATCATCATGTCAAGAGAACATGAGCCTTTCTTAGACAGGTATCTTCTGCTTCCAAACGTGAAGCCCTTAGAAGGACCCAAGAGCGGATATACGTTGTCTAGTACAGAAAGGATAACTGGAATCACTAGAATATCAGGCAAACTCCAAGATGTGGAGTGTTCTATGGAAGAAAAGGAGATGGGGTGCCTGAGTGGCTCAGTGGGTTAAAGCCTCTACCCTCAGCTCAGGTCATGATCTCAGGGTCCTGGGATCGAGTTCCGCATCAGGCTCTCTGCTCAGCAGGAAGCCTGCTTCCCCCTCTCTCTGCCTGCCTCTCTGCCTATTTGTGATCTCTCTCTCTGTGTCAAATAAATAAATAAAATCTTTAAGAAAAAAAAAAAAGGAAAGCAAGAAAAGGAGATGGAAGCTTCTAAAACACCAATGTCATAAAAGACAAAGGCTGAGGAGATGTTTCAGGTAAAGAAGGTTAAAGAAACAAGGTTACCAAATGCCACATCGGCCCCTCCACTGTCTCCTTTGCTCAGGTCAGTGAAGGCTGCAAAGGGCATTGGTGGGCCCAGTGAAAATACTGAACTGCGATAGATTATGTGAAAGTATTTTGACAATGTTAACTTTCCTGATGTTGCTAACTGTGCTGTGGTTATACAAGAGATTGTCTCCATTCTTAAGAAATACACACTAATGTATTTAGGGTTAAAAAAAATGATATATACAACTTACTCTCAAATGGCTCTGAAAAAAAGACATCTCTCTCTTACTATATAGAACTACGTATATTTATATCCTCATTTGTTTGGTATAAACATATTTCTCCAGAGAAGTAACATAAGATAATGCAAATGATGGAATCTGATTAAGAAATCAGCAAATCATACAGGTTTCTTTGTATTATTTTTCTTGCCAATTTTTCTTTAAGTTTGAAACTATCTTGAAATACAAGACTGAGAGAACCGTTTCAAAAGTCATGTCCGTTTTCCGTGATGACACGACTTTCTATTCTCAGCTGGGAGGCAGTTTGGTATTAGAGCTCCAAGTACGGCTTTTCAGCATCCAACTGTTTGCATTTGAATCCAGCATTTCCACTCACCAGCTATGTGACCTCTGATAAGCTACTTGATCATTCTGGGCCTCAGTTTCTTCATCTGTGAAATGGGCATGAGAAGAACATCTGCTTTGTGGCTGGTTTATCAGAAACAAATGAGATCTACGTAGGAGTGCTGGGCGAGACACCATGCTCGGAATGAGCTCTCAGGAAGTGGGCTTTGATGATGCTTTCAAGGAAAATAATCTACGAGAGAGAGAGGGTGTAGTAAGAGCCAAGATTAGTTTAATGTCAAAGCAAAAGAAGAGGGAGGAGGAGTAGAAGAAGGAGAAGAGGAAGAAGAAGGAGGAGGAGGAGAGGGAGGAGGTAGGGGAAAAGGGAGGAAGGGGAGAGGGAAGGAAAAGGGAAAGGGAAGGGGAGTGGGGGGAGGAAGAGGGGGAGGAGAAGAAGTAAGTGAGGAAAAAGAACAGAGAGGAGGAGAAAGTATCTTACATACAAGTTACCAAGATTCATAAGCTACAGTGAATACAGCAGTGTGACATGACAACACAGAGAGACACAAACACTGGCACAGAATAGGAATCCCATTAATAGTTCAAATATGCATTAAATGGGTATAAAATAGAAGAAGCACTGCAAAGCAGGGGAGAAAGGAAAGATTGTGAAATAAATGATATGAAGATAATTGATGTTTCATATAGAAAAAACCCTAAAATTAGATCCTTTGTTTAGGCCATACACAAATATAAATTCCAAATAAATTAAAGTCGCAACATGGAAAATGCAACCACTCTAATTAAAAAAAAGAAAAAAGTTTCTTAGACAAGGGAGAAAAACCAGACACAGCAAAAGTCTAAGAATAATAAATGTGATTGTATCCCATTTACAGACTTCTTCAGAGCAAAGGATGCCACAAAGATAAAAGATAAGCAACATATGTAGATAGGATATTGACAATACATGACAGAGCCAAGTAATTAATATCCAGAAAAATATATATAAAGGACCAATAGGACCACAGGAAATGTACAGAAAAAGACACCTGGCTGTCTGATAAAGAAAGGGAAAATAGTTAATCTCACTAGTCATCAGGAACATGCAACCTAAAAACTTGGAGATAATATTTTACAACTCTGATTGGCAAAAAATGAGAAGTCTGACACTACTGAACCTGTAGGGGGACAGAAAGATCCGGATCTTGCTAATGGAGAGCAATTTGGCAATATCCAATGAGGGGAGAATTGTCCATACCCGTGACTTGTGACGTCTTCAAGATTGTCTCCCAGAAAACAGCCGCGCATGGCTTCTAGAAGATGGGACTGAGAAGGTTCATTACAGCATCAACGAACACTCAACAAGTAAGAAACAACCTAAACTCTCTCAGTTACCAGAAGGTACAACTAAATTATGATGTAGTGTTTCAACAGACCTATTTAGGGCAGTTGAAACGAATACCATTGATCTATGTGATCAGCGCGGGGAGCTAAGTAAGGCAGCATGTTGAGTGTGCTGTAGTGACATTCGTGTCACATGTTGAACCCCTAGAAAGCAACACAGGAAGGAAGCTCAGTCAAAGCAGGGGTGCTGTTTCTTCCGGAGAAGAGAGGAAACAAAACAGGGGAGGGGAGCCCCAAGCTAATGTGTTAACTCCATTTCTGACATTCTCTTTCTTTGATGGATATGTTGATTTATCTATCTACTTACGAATCTGTCTAAAAAAAAAACAGCCAAATTTTAAAATGTATTAATTCAAGATGTTGGGTCCATGTTTGTTACATTGATGTCAAGGTTTTTTTGTTTTTTTTTAAGATTTTATTTATTTATTTGACAGAGAGAGACAGCGAGAGAGGGAACACAGGCAGGGGGAGTGGGAGAGGGAGAAGCAGGCTTCCCACGGAGCAGAGAGCCCGATGCGAGACTCCATCCCAGGACCCCGAGATCATGACCTGAGACGAAGGCAGCGGCTTAACCCACTGAGCCACCGAGGCGCCCCTGATGTCAGTCTTAAAATAGTTTTAGAATATTGGAAAACTGAATTTCCCAAAACTGTCCAACTACTTTGTGTTGTGGGAAATAGTGTCTCATGCAAGCCAGGATGTTACTGGAGTCACTAGGGAGAGATGTCTCTCTTCCTCCCATGTCCCCAAAAGCCCTCGTGCACAGCTCTCACATATGCCCTGGGATGACTGGCCTGGTCCCCTGCCCTGTGTTAGTAGGTATCACTAGATAATCCCCCAGGTCGCTTCTACCAGTTTGTAAAGGAAAAGCTTAATTAATTCTTACAACTTTCAAACAGGCTATCATGCTATTTTTTGGTGCGTAGAAATTTATTTTGTATTAAGAATATATATGATCCTTATGAAAAATGTCAATACAAAGAAACCAAAAGATGCCTTGTAATCCTATTTCCTAGAAAGGGTAAAAGGAAACTTTTCATGACTCGCTGTATTTCCTTCCAGTCAAGTTTTGGATAGGCAAGCAAACATATGGAAAATGTAATTCTGTACCTATAACTCCGTAAGTTTGTCACCTCCCCTCTATCCATGTCAGTTCTGAGAATGTTTTTCATGTAAACATTTTGGATATCATTGGAAAAGTTTGATTATAACTGATTTAGCCAGATTCTGACAGAAAATCATTTGTTTTCTGGTTTCTACTGGAGTCAACAGTGCTAAATAACATCCTATTAAATGTTCAGGGGAATTTTTTATCCTATTACTTCATCAGGATAAGTTTCCGAAGGTGGAATTTCTGGGTAAAAGGTTGTGAACAGCTTACACTTTGCTACATGTTGTCCAATTATGTCCTGAGAAGATTGGGTCAATCAGTGTTCTAATTATCCAAATAGTGAGTGCCTGCCTCCTGTCAGATCCTGGCCATGTGCTTTAAACATGGCTGCAGACTGAGTTCTCTCAACAGCCCTGTGAGGTTCGTACAGTCATTATCCCCAAGTTACAGATGAGAAAACTTAGCACAGACAGGATGGACAACGTGCCCTAGCTCTCAGGGCTGGTAAAGAGCTAAGAGGATTAACATTCGTTTCTTTAGAGGGAGACACAGTCTCTGAAACACTGTTTCTGCCAATGGTATCTGAAAACACTAACTGGCTGTGATACCTTAGCCAACTAATTAAAACTTTATCCTTAACATGCGGATAATGGTGGGACCTACTTCATGAAGTTGTTGTAGGCGCCCAATGAGCTAATGTGTTTAAGGGAATAGGCAGCAGGTCGAATGCACTAAAAAATGTTACGTTACTCTTTCTTTTATTATCTGGGACCTTGAGCATTTTCAAGGCTTATCGCTTATTCGTAATTTTTCGGAAAACTGCCTACTTGTATCATGGGCACATTTTTTTTCAGGGGATTTCTTAAATTTCACTTCCTTCCCCACACCCACCCCCCAGGACAGACGTGGGGAAGGAAGATGTACAGACTGGTCTGTACATCTACACTGGTCGAAAGCAGAAACAGGTTAAGATGCCTGCCACCGTTTGCCAAGTCACCAAGCACACTTTGCGTTTTCTGCCCTGCACACACGTCTTTCTTGCTTGCTGGTTCTAACCACCCGCATGGCCACTTCCACTCATTACACATGGCCATTTCCACATGTAAACTGCTAGATGCCGAGGCTCTCTGCCTCCCACGCTAACTCCCAGAAAGCCAAGGTCTTTGTTCACTCCGGGCTGGATGTGGGCTTCAGGCAGGAGTCCTGCCCCTGAGAATTAACATTGCCCATGTCCCGGATCTAGGCTGCTGCTTTCTCAGATAGAAGGTTAGATCTGGAGATAGACTGCCTGCCTTTGAGTCTTGACCCAGGGCAAGTTCTGAGAAACAGCCTCTTTGTGCAGATGCCTTTTTAAGAAATAACAATTAATGTCGAAGCAGATTTTGCAAAGTGCATGGCTCATTCATCTCTGTTTATCTCTGTCTACACATATTATTCTAACCATCATTCTGGGCCTCAATCTTTATGTCTCTCTATTTTTCCTCTCTAATACTCTGGTCTTCTATTTCTCCCTCTACATCCGGCCTTACTTTTCTATCAGTCTCCACCTTTCCCCCTTCTTCCTTCTGTTGATGTATAGAATTAAAGATGACTTTTTAAAAGTCTGGATACTTCTGGGTGACTAAGAACCTCCTTCATTCCATAATAAGACTCATTCACCATGAACTATGGAGAAGCACCTACATATTCTCATTTTATATAATTATTTTGGTTTGACCTAATTAAATTGAACTTAATTTTCAAACAATCCTAGAAGACATGCATTATTATCCCCCTTATCTCTTATTGGTTCATAAACTGAGAGAGGGTCTAAGAAGCTTGCAGCAGTTTGTCAGCAATGAGGCCACAATTTAAAGCCAGATTTTTCCAGGTCCCAAGCCCAAAGCTCTTTCTACCACATGACCCTTTCCTGCTCTCCTCTGACACAGAAGCATTTGTAAGTTGTAGCTGGAATGAAACAGACAAAAATCGTTGCTCAGTTTCCTGTCTCAAAATGAGAAAAGCCGTCTATCTCAAGGGACACATCTGTGCGTGAGAGACTGAGTCCCAGTGGGCTAATGCTCCCCCAGTTTCCCACTCACTGAGGGACCCTGGCCACAGAAGAGTCCCACCCACACCATTTCTGCATTCCTCACTTACCCAGGAGGAGGAGGAGGGCTCTCAGCATGCTGGCCTCCAAGCCCATGCCAGCTCTATGCTCCTGGCTCCTCTCTGAACAGGCACCGAGCGCTGTATGACCCAAAGCTGCAAGGGACAGGAGCCAAGCTCCACGTGACAGACAAGGAGGAAGCTGCCTCCACGCCAGGAGGCTGCTTAGTTCCTCTCCGCTCCATCAAAGGGCAGGGCTGAGAGAAGCACTTGTTGTCCTGGCCCTGCCATCTGTGGAAGGGAGCTATCCCACAAGAAAGGCTCCTTGAGGCTTTCCAGGGTACTGGTTATCACCCCATCTATCTCCTATAACCTACCCCCACCCACCACACACACACAGCACGGGAACAGAAGTGCCCCTGGGTGCAGATTCTTGCCCAAAGACCCAGGCTGATGAGTCTCAGAGGCGGTTGTGGGCAAAGCAAATATGGATGTCCAGGTCATGCAACGCCCATGGCCACCAGCCCACAATGCACCGCAGTCACTATGGTTTGTGCCATGGACGTCTCTCAGTCTGGGAGGCTGACTCTCTTCTCAGAATAACATTTTAAATGTCCAAAATAAAGTAGCCAGGATCCTAAAAGAAACCAGTTATATTGGGGTCCCTGGGTGGCTCAGTCAGTTAAGCGCCTGTCTTCAACTCAGGTCATGGTCCCAGAGTCTTGGGATCGAGTCCTGCATGGGTCCGGGGGGGGGGGGGGTCCCTGCTCAGCGGGGAGTCTGCTTGTCCTTCTGCCCCTCAACCTGCTCCTGCTCTCTCTTTCTCTCAATAAATAAATAAATAAAATCTTAAAAAAAAAAGAAAGAAACCGGTTATATTGAAATACAGTTATCAAAAATAGTTAGAACGCACACTTATGATATAGAAATAGATGTGCTTTCTCTCTATGCAGCAAACAGCAAGATTTAGCAGAGGGGCAGTAAGTCCACAATCTTGACATCATGACAAACGTTAACAATATTTAGAGATCTGTACCAGCTGGAAGGTGGACGAAAAAACCTGCAGTTGCTACTAGCCATAAAATCACCCATGTGGTAACATCACCGTGGTTTCTTGGTTACCCTCACGTTGAAAAGACGTGTTAAGTCTCCAGTAGAGGTTAGAGGACAAGGATGTGATTTTTTCTCATCCACATTCCCAGACCCCACATTAAGCCCCTCAGGCTGGAAGACCCTTGGTTCTCAACAGGCTCAAACCAACAGATTTGGGGCCGTGGGTTTCCATCCTTCTCCTTGAAACCTGCCTGACTGTTGAGCCACCAACTCAAATGTGTAAGAAATCTCACTTTTAAAAATGTACAGCCCCCTCATGACAAGTGTCGAGCCCCATCCAAATGAGAGGACAGCGGTCAGCCTCTTCATCCTCGGGCTTCCTCAGCCAAACTCCTAACACTGCTAACCCACGGAGCACCGTGTCCCTCAGGCCCTCACAGTAATGATGGATGTGAGCAGACCAGGGTGTTTGTGAGAAAGGCTATTTGCTTTGTTTGGTGGCTTAAGGTTCCATCCTCCTAGCCAGACACTTTATTTCATGCCAAACACTTTGGTCGGTCTTTACCCACACCACGAAACATACTCCCTCTTACTTCTCCTGAACTTGTGAACTTTTAAAACTTTTACCCCCCCCCCCTTTTTTTTAATTTAAATTCAATTAACCAACATATAGTACATTATTAGTTTCAGATGTAGTGTTCAATGATTCATCAGTTGCGTATAACACCCAGTGCTCATCACATCATGTGCCCACCTTAATGCTCGTCACCCAGTTACCCCATTCCCACTCACCTCCCTTCCAGCAGCCCTCAGTTTATTTCCTAGCATCGA